TAAGGCAACTCTCATCTTTTCATGTGCTGTATATTTATACCTGCTACTGTATTTTTCACTCCATGCAGCTGATGAAGTGAGTTATGGCCCACAAAAGCTTATGCCCAAATAAATATGTTAGTCTCTAAGGTGCCACAAGGACTTCTCATTGTTTTTACTTTCACTTCGGTAATTCATAGGCTCATGCCAGCCCTCACAAGGGGTAAATGTCACCTTGGTTTGCTGTATTATTCACACAATATGGAGAGTAAGATACACAGGTGAAATGCTTTACGAATATACCTGTATTACAAAAGGCACCTGTTAAACTGAGGTAAATGTTAGTTACCAAAGCTGTTAGACCAGTTGTGGGCAACCTGCAGCCCGTGGGCTGTATGCGGCCCATCTGGGCAATCTGCTGGCAGGCCGTGAGACAATTTGTTTACATTGACTGTCTGCAGGCATGGCCGTCTGCAGCTCCAAGTGGCCATGGTTCGTCGTTCACGGCCAATCGGATCTGCAGGAAGTGGAGCGGGCCACAGGGACATGCTGGCTGCCGCTTCCAGCAGCACCGATTGGCCGAGAGGTTTTGTATACATTACTATTTCTGAACTGCTAATGCTCATCCAAACGCGTCCCAATCCAGTCAGCACAGTCTGAACAGGATGGGGTTTTCTTCCAGGCCATCAGGTGGTTTCTGTGCTCCCATTAGAGCAGAGGTATCTGGGTTTCCCAGGGAAAATGTTTGATTAATTGTATGTTGGTGGTGGGGAGCAAAGGGGAGGTACAGAGAAGGGTGTTGCAGTGAGAAGCCCTGGATGCTCACACGGAACACTGAGCCCTAAGTCACGGTACAGCAGCTACACTGACACTGTGATGATCTTCACAGAAATCTGCTATTGCAGACACCCAGAGCAGGGAGGTTTTTGTATTCGTCTGTATCACTGTGAGAGGTGAACTCTCAGTCTGCAGACAATAATAATCCGCTGCATCATCGGCTTCAACGCTGCTGATTGTGAGAGTGTACTCGGTGCCAGACTCACTGCTACTGAACCGGGCTGGGACCCCAGATTCAAGTGTAGAGCCCCAATAGATAAGGAGCTTAGGAGCTTGTCCGGGTTTCTGTTGGTACCAGGAGACATAGTGGCTATCACGGCTAGAACTGGCTGTACATCTGATGGTGACTTTTTGTCCCAGAGACACTGAGAGGGATTCTGGAGACTGAGTCATTGTGACCTGCCCATAGGAGTCTGGATTATGTATGAAATCAAAATAAATAGAGAGAAAAGGTCATTGATAGTGGGCAACAATAAATAATAGTGATTGACATTTGCATCTTTAGACAATGGTATGAAATGCATCATATAATAAAAGATGTTCACAATTGTTATAGTCAAGCCATAACTGTGATGAATTATTTATTTAATAGCCAAGCTAGCTACAATGTTTTGAATTTTTAAAATTTAAATGGATCATTGTACATTTTAGCAAGTGCCGTTCGGTTCTGATTCTTACCCGGAATCCACAGCGCCAGTAGCCAGAGCAGCTGAGTCTGGGAGAACATCTTGGTACGTCTGAGCTGGCAGGTGCTGCTCAATAAACCGCGGAGAGTGGAACAAAATCTTTTATAGCCCCTCAGAGCAACAGGGCAGTGTCACTGGGGAGTTCACATGCAAAGCAGCCCACGTGAGTGGGATCCTGGCCTCCCTGGTGTGACTATACATAGAGCTGGTTTCTGTGCATCATCGCAGTGCGTGATGCTCACTTATCCTCCGGGGGAAAGGGGGTACTCTTGTGGGTCAGGCACAGGAGACCTGGGGTCTGTTTCTGTTTCTGCCAATGTGTGACCTTTGGCTTATCGCTGTGGGCTGGATCTTGTGCAGTACTGGACGCTCTCAATTCCCATTTCAATGGGATGACTTGTGTGAATAAGGGCTGTGGGATCTGACCCTATGCACCCAATCCTGGTCCTGCTGATGTCAAAGGCAAACTCCCAGTTATTTCAGTGGCAGAGGAATAGGTCATTAAATTTGTCTGTGCCTCATCCTCTCTCTCTGTAATATGGGGAAGGTGATGCCCCCTGGGTGTGCCTCTGAGGGGTGATTAGTGTTTGTAAAATGCTTGGAGATCCTCAGGAAGATGGTGCTGGATTAGTACAGGGGGTGAACATGGACCTAATCCTTCCCCCTCTACCATGGATAGGTAAATGGTGCTATTGACCTTTTATACAAGACAGTAAGGTGAGTAAGCCTCGTCATACTTAGTGGTTTTTTTAAAGTTCCAGCTCCTGGGGTCAAGTAAGTATGTGACAATTTCCGCTTTTAAGAAAATATTGTTTCCAGCCCACTTAGTTGTGGAGCAAAGTCTGAAAAAAGGAAATCCTGAAGGCAAGTAAAAAGGAGCCAGAATTTAGTATGTATACAAATCTTGTGACGTGTTGGGCCCTGACTTGTGATTTGTGAATGGCTGGGCTGGCAATGCAGCATTCAGGGATGGTTCCTGTTATCCCACCACTATGCCTGAGTCCTGGCAGAGAGTGAATTTAGACACACTCAGGGGCAGTAACCCAAACTCAATTCTCTGGCTCAGAGTTATTCTGAGTCATTATATTCTTCTTATTATTTATTTATGTTACGATGGAACCTAGGACCCCAGTCATGCCCTGGGCCCCCCACTGTGCTACACGCTGGGCAAACACAGTTCAAAATAGAAGTCCTCAGGGCAGAGGCCATGACAATCTAAGTATAAGACAAAAGACAACAGGGGGCTCCAGGCAGAGGAGGGACTACAAGGAAATGAAGAGACAATACTGGTCAGCATGACAGGCAGTGGTCTCAGCACAACAGCAGCCTGACTCTTGTTGAGTTGTCTGTAGTCCTTGTGACGCAGGAGACATTTCAGGAGGGATTTGAGGGAGAACAATGCAATAGTTTTGCAGATGTTTTCTGGGAGCTTCTCCCAAGTATCAGGGGCAGCATGGGAGAAAACATGAAGATGCTTGTTTGCAAATTAAACAAGGGAGTGATGGAGGCTGGCAGCCTGGACGGATGGGAGATGGGAACTGATGTCCCAGTAGTGACTGAGAGATCATAGATAGTGTGGTGATAGGCCATGAAGGGCCTTGAGAATGAAGACAAGTAGCCTTGGTTTGATGAGAGAGAGAGAGAAAGGGGAGCTAAGGGAGGGACACAAAAAGAGGGGTGATGTGGTCAAAGGGACAGGCTAGGAAAGTGATTTTTGCAGCAGCATTTCAAAGGGATATGAATGGGACAAAATTGCAGTTATCAACACAGTGAAAAAGATGTTGCAGTAATTGAAACAGAAATGTTGGGCTGGAAGGGCCCACGATAGGTCATCTAGTCAGGGCCGGCACAGCCCATTAGGCGACCTAGGCGGTTGCCTAGGACACTAACAGTTGGGGGCCGGCGACTGCGGTGGCTGGATGTTCGGCCATCCTGGTTGTCGTCAGTATTTCAGGGGTGGGAGCTTCCGTCGCATCTGTCGGGGCGGGACCTTCCGCCGCCTAGGGCAGCAAAAAAGCTGGCAGCGCTCCTGCATCTAGTCCAACCTCCCACACATTCCCCCTGTGCTGAGGCCAGACCAAGCGTACCTAGACCATCCCTGACAGATGTTTCTCTAACCTGTTCTTAAAAACCTCCAGTGATGGGGATTCCACAGCCTCCCTTGGTGACGTATACCACTACTTAACTATCTTCATAGTTAGAAAGTTCTGCCTAATACCTAATCTAAATCTCCCTTGCTGCAGATTAAGCCAGTTACTTCTCATCCTACCTCCAGTGGAGTTGGAGAGCAATTGATCACTGTTCTCTTTATAACAGCCTTTAATATATTTTAAGACTGTGATCAGGTCCCTCCACCATGAGTCTTCTTATCTCACAATTAAACATACTCAAGTTTTTTAACCCTTTTTTTCTAGGCCAGGTTTTCTTAACCTTTTAGATGACAAGAACCTGGATGAGAGTTTTGGCCGTGTGGGTGGATACGAAAGGCCCTCTCTTAGTATGTTATGCAGAAAGAATCTGCCAGATTTAGACACAAGAAATATTTTCCTCATGGATTGTATTTTCTAAATGGACAACCTACCCTAATTCTCAATTACTGAAGGACAATCTCCACTCATTCATATATTTTGCGTTCTGCAACCAAATCTCTGTACTACTCTTCATGAGTGATGTACCTGAATACCTGGATGCTAATATCTAAACCGTATTCTTAAATGTATTCATCTACATTTGGGTCATTGCTGATTATGTACTATATGTATCAGATGACTTAAAAACAAACTTTGTATTTGTGGTGTGGCAAAGTTCCTCCTCTACCTTGGTGGGTCCTGCGCTTATTGGCAGATTTTCTCACCTCAGTGATCTTCCCCTCTGGTGGAACCCACAGTCTGGGTCAACTCCTCCTGTGTCTGATCAGGAGTTGGGAGGTTTGGGGGGAACCCGGGCCCGCCCTCTACTCTGGGTTCCAGCCCAGGGCTCTGTGGATTGCAACTGTCTATAGTGCTTCCTGTAACAGCTGCATGACAGCTACAACTCCCTGGGCTACTTCCCCATGGCCTCCTCCAAACACCTTCTTTATCCTCACCACAGGACCTTCCTCCTGGTGTCTGATAACGCTTGTACTCCTCAGTCCTCCAGCAGCACACCCTCAGCTCCTTGCACCTCTTGCTCCCAGCTCCTCACATGCGCACCTCACTGACTAACTGGGAGGCTTTTAACTAGTTTCAGCCAGCCCTTGATTGGCTTCAGGTGTCCCAATCAATGTAGCTATCTCCACTGCCTTCTAGAAGGATCTTAATTGGCCCCAGGTGTCTTGATTAACCTGGAACAACTGCCATTTGGTTACTATGATACCATTTGTTTAGCCTGGGGCTAACATACCTGTTCCTCACTACTTTACTGTAGCCATCTGGCCTTGCCCCATCACAGTGGATAATCTAAGCACTATACCCAGATGTACAGACACTCTTTTCTCAACCTGTGTATTATATAATTTTAACATTAGTTTTAATACATTTTTAAATCTGTTTTTATATGTTGGTAACACCATCTGGTAGCTGTGAAGAGAATTCAGATTAATTGGTTTGTTATAATAGTGTACTAAATATGCAGATTCCCATATTTAAAGTGAGTTAAGAATATGTCTGAAATACAAGAGACCATCTGTGCAAGGTACAAATCTTTCACCATTACTCATGATCTGTAGCACCTTATTTCACATTAGCCCACTGTAAAAAAAACTTGGGGGTTAAGGGACAGACTTTTATAGGTATTTAGGTTACTAAACACCTATTGATTTCAATAAGGTACTAGTTGATGTGAATTATGTTGGCAGAGTCAATTGTTAGTTACAAACATAAAATCTTTGCTCTCCTATTGTAGTAGATGTTAATTAGTTATGACTGGGTGAAATAGCTTACTTAGATAAAGACTGATTAGTCACAAGATATATTTAAAGAGGACGCCCTTGCACTGTATTTTCTTTTCTGCCATATAGGAGATGGGTATTTTTTGTTTGTTTGTTTTCTCTGTTTTCTGCTTCAAAACGCCTCTGGTTTGGATTCCTCTGGGCCTTGTACATTCTTTTCATTTACACCTGTGTCAAGTGGGCTGATTCTTCAGTGACTTGTGTCTCTGTCTAGTATCTTGCACCAGTGCAAAGGGAGTGTAAAATGCTTCCTACTCCAAGTGGTAACATTTTGACATGCGCTGTCCACTTGTGTAAAGGACAACATGAGAGGCTGGCACTGGAGAATCAGGCCCTCTGTCCATATGACTTTTAGTTTTAAATTCACGAAACGAGCAAAGAAGGAACTGATATAAAATCTCAGTGAAGAGAAGGCAGAGAGTATCTCTTGCTCCTGAAATGCTGCTCAGCCCGGTGTCCCAGCAGAGAGGCAGGTGAAGTTCTGACATTTCAAGATGCAGTGCACAGAAATCTGCATCCTAGCTGGGCAAGGAAGGCCAGATCCGGCTCCCATTGCTCCTGTGAAATTTACCATTAATTTCATTGCGGGTAGGATGTGCTCCTAATCTGCCATCAAATTCTTTTACACTTGGGCTCTTGTAGATTCCAGCAAGTCTGTTTTTATTTTGTGATGGTCTCAGAAGTTTTCAGCGTGGGATGTTATTTGCAAATAAGATTTCGATTGGCTCTGTGAAAGCTCTGGGATTAGGCTCTGCACATTTAGTTTCTTTAGGGAGAAACTCCCTGCAGATGATAGCTTCTTTTAGACTCAATGTTCTCATTATTCACAAAGACAAACAGTCATGCTTACAAAGGTCCATTTCAGAGCACTCTTGCCTCAAATCTTGCCCCTCTTTCTCTTCCATTTTAGTTCTTTCCAGATTATTAAATCCTAGATTTGGGAGGATGGTTCAGAAAAACTGCTCACAGTTTGCACAGCAAAATACACAGGCGGTGCAGGGTGGATGGGAAGGGCACTGGACCTGTAATTCTCCTGCTTGTGTCCACACAAATTGCTAAACACTCTAATGTGATGATTAGAGGTAGAAATACATTGGATATCTATGGTATTTA